TTGGATATGTGATGCAGCGCGACATTGAACTAGTAGCTAAATTGGGTAAATAGTGCAGTAATAGCCCTCTGTACAAAGGTGCTGACCCAACAAACAACTGATGAATCAGCCTTTTACTACTCTTTGCCATTTAACATGGACGACCATTTGAAGCCACTTGAGTTAAAAATCGAATGCTTTGTACATGCCGGCAATTTTCGTTTCGACGTTTATTTCTCGTCAAAAATATACGGATCATTTGGTTTCTCCACTCAACAACTATTTGGAAGTACTACTAAAAAGTAGAAACGTATTTAACTGACACCTACGTTCTAACAAGGAATCAACTATGCTATCGACGCCATCACTCTAGCTATGGAACATTGTAAACCAGTCTAGTTACCGGCGAAGCTTTTAACGATTTGAAGCTTCAAATTATACTGGTACGTTTACTTTCCGATAAGTTATTAGACATTAAGGTTGTTATTGAAATTTATTTTACGAGATACTATAAACAACTAACTCACCATGGTCAAGCTCAGTACGCCGCGATAACCAGCTGCTTAATGGAACAAGCCAGCAAGCGACTATTGGCTCAAGCCATATACAAAATGCGCATTAATAAAAAAAAAAAAGACGCTCTTTGTTAGTACGAGTTTGATTTACGGCAAATGGTCTGTTAATAGCATTATGAAATTCAAGAGACAAACAGGCTGAGAATTGGAAAAAGCTTACTTTGGGGACTTCCAACTCGATGTATCGTATATTAGAGTGAGCTTAACATAGCTTGCCATATCTGTGATAATTCCATTTTCATAAACAATAAAACTAATTTCGTAAAATTGATTATTTGTATCGTGTGTAATCCTGCCTTGAACGTATACGTTTGCACATTTGTGTACGAGGTTGGTATCTTCACTAGCGTCTTTTCTATAAACGATCTTCATTCTCCGCCGATCTTCAAATTCCGTAGACGCCTCTGTTTTTTGAGTATTCAGGAGATGTTCGTATTCCATCTGTTCCATTTCCAGCGCTCATGCCCTTTGTAGCGGACTGTTCCAACATAAAGTTGATCGTGATGAAGCAAGATAACATCTGTACCTACGAAACGTCGCCGAGAGTCAGGGTTGGCCAAACTGGCCGCTACACCTAACGAAATGGAAGGGAAAAACCTTGAAGAAAAACGTATGATGTGAAGTAAAGTGAAGATTGCACTGTGGAAGAAGCAGTTCGACACAGGAGAATCGGGTGAGGGAAAGCGGGCAACGGAGCAAAGTTTGGACAGTGAGCAGCTATGTTATGACATATAAAAGCCATTCGCCGCAGCGTTATCTCCACCAGAGAAGAATAACCACCATAGCCGCGACGGTCACAGCTAGCAGCCCATACACCCTGACACAGGGAAGCGCGTACGGGATCCACCCGATCCCGAAGCTACCGTAGTTACTATGTTCTAAGGGGAATTCGAAGGCGGGGCTCAGGGAGCAAACCACTAAAGGCGTACACGCTTATGTCTATGGCTGCCACACCATGGACAGGAGAGCCGTATTGGCCGTTGCAGGGGCAGCCTGTCCTGTCTCATACAGCCGCAACACCAACGCGAGAACTACTGCTACTATAACTGCTGTTACAAGCATAGCAAGTATCGCCAGGATAGCACCAAGAAGCTCCAGAGGCTACCGCTTCCCCTGCGACGATTTGCCTTTTGAGACGGTGATCGTCTCGTCGTTGCTGCTGCTTTTTCTTATGCATCATAAATTCCTTTCTTCTAGTGGTGGGCCGGCCTGGGAGCTGTGTTCGCGTCGCGAAAATACAGCGGTGTGTGTGTGCAAAGATGCAGTCTGCAGGAGACTCCTCGCAAAGGCCTGAGGCGCGGTGGGCACACCAGGGACAGGAGAATCCTCACGAAAAGCGGGTCAACGCAAAGGAACACGAGAGGAGAGACAGAAAGAAAGCGAAACAAAGCTATAGAACTACGCCATAGACGACCAGTACAGCTCGGGCAGCCGAGCAGGCGGGGTTACTGCAGCTCTGTACAGCGACGGGGCCGTGCTACTCGGCACTGCACGGCAGCGCGCATAGGCGCGCAAGTCAGACATGGCCTGTATAGAGGAAGAGAGAAGGAAAACGACAAGCAGTACGGGTCCCCCCCTTCAAATGGGCTTTGCAAACTGGCAGAAGAGCCACGTCGGCCGTACCAGGCTCCTGCGGAAGCAGCACCCAGCTATAATAACTTCTGCAGCAACCCAGAAGTAAATGGTGTATGGGGTAAAAAAATAATATTTTTTTTAAATGAATTATTTCGCTTTTCCTTTGTTTGGTCGGTCGACCAGTCGTTTGTCGTTTGAAAACGACGCGTTGTCGGACAGGGTACAAGGGTAGCGGAGAAGCAGCAAAGGCGCGAGGCAGGCGCAAAGCGATGTTGATTTCACATATGAACCCCCTCCACCCTGCACCGTCCCATAGAGCAAGCGCGTACCCCTATATCATTCACGGATCGTCTTGGCCGACAACGTCCTGACCTGGTTCTGTCGTGCATGAAGCTGTTCGCATCCTTAGCGCTTCAGCGGCCACTATTCAGGCGTCGACAAATGACGCGAAGTCGCTCATTTGCATTCATCCGCAGAGTCATTGGCCATTAATGACGAAATGAAAGGTGAACGTGAAGCGTACTGTAGCATCGGATAAAGTGGACAATAAGGCATAAAACACCGAAAAACAGACTGGAATCACGGACGACTATACAGAGTACACCCTGGTCATCTAATATATACATCTGTATGATTTCTTGGCTTATAACCCACCGGACAGAAAATAAGCGGCTCATCAAGGAACTACATCTAAGCGTCATCTCCCCGTGAGATAGAGTGAGATATTTTTAGAAAGACAGAGTGCTATATTTAGAAAAACTGCTTTGTAGCTGAGCGTGGACGGTTTAACCAAAATTGTTACATCGTTTATTATTTCATTTACATATTATAATGCGTTGTGTGTATATTAAGAAACTATTAAGCGTAGGACGGACCACAAAACAGGGTAGTTTCGAATAAAAAGGACAGCTATATTACGGACGATAGTAGCAAATCTCTACAGTTATTGTCGTAAAAGGAGCACATATATGGAAGCAGATACACAGCAAGAATTTGGTTTGCTTATGTTCTATCCTAAATCACCTATCATGAAATAGAAAAAAACGCAATAGATAGCTAGATTTCAGGACATAGGAATATATTCTGGAATCCTGCCACACAAATCAATCGATCGAAAAGGCACCGCACCTCATGGTTTGCTACCATTCGCGTAGACATCGACACCTTAAGACTAACTTGAGTAGTTTGAAATAATAGGCGGCGAGATATTCTAAACTCCCAGCAGACCAGAAGATGGATCATTGCGTATTTGTTCGATTTAAACAGATTATAAGCCCAAGCAAACGAACTGCAAGGCGTTAGAGGATGCGTAAATGCTGGCTTTTTTCTTGCTGAGCCCCATGTCACTGCATCGCATGAATTAACTAAATGCACAGAAAATAAGGAAGCATTTATCTAAATAGAACTATATGGGTTATTATGTTGGTTGAAACTGCCCTTTGATTATATCGAATTACCCAAAATCGTACAGGGGTAAGCAGATAAACCCAGTAGTACGTTGTATGCAGTACGATGTCGAAGAACGCGATGCTAAGCATTGAACTGCAGTTTCGCTATTAGGGTTTCATTTATAAATTGGTCTAGCTATTGTTGGAACGCATTAGTGTGATATCGTATATTTGGTATAAGGGGGACCTGCCCTATTAAATTTCCCAAGGATCACCAAGACCTGTAAACTAGCTTGTCACTGCGTAGGATTCCTTTAGCAACGAGGTAGGCTGATTATGTTCAGAATTCAAGCCACTGTTCTAAGAAATCGAGGTCGTTGACGTATGACAGACTGCATAAACCCTAAAGGCAATCTATCATATCTTAGAAAACCTTTGTGAAACGACATGTGAATTTAAAAAGTTTTTTTTTTTTCGTTTTGTGTTTAGTTCTATTGTGAATGGTAGCAACACCCGCCCACTGGCGATTGGTTTACTATATGTTTAGATAAAAGTGCACCTAAAGTAAATATTTCTATATTGGCTGCACCTAAAAGACAGGCTGGTATTTTCCAAAATTTTCAAGGTCGATTCGTACTTTAAAAGCCTGCGAAGGACTTTGGCTGCGGAGAAGTATGGATTAAATCAATGGTCCAAATGCATCTGTTTGGAATGTCAGCCTTTTTGTACACCATTATCGCACCTTTTGATGGGCTTCTTGGCTAAAAGCAAATGGTCCAAGATACTGCTTTCTAGCTCACCGCATTAAATATATCTCAACGGCTGACAGGCAGATGGACACTAACTACAATCGCCCCATTCGGCAGGGTCTGCATGAAAACTCAGCTCAAATCTTTCTCTTCCTTCAGACTAAGAAATAACTAGCCTAGAGATGTCATAGAAGTTAACGTTAAATACTCATCTATACGTCTACGGATAACTCCTTGTTATTCAATTTCTTGTCTCATCTGTTGCTGTTTTTCTTAGACGAGCTGTGTGGGTCCATGATGGCGAACCTTGTAATAGGATTGTGGAGACACTGGCAGAACACAAAAGCAAGATTGCCCCTCGTAGACATCCGCGCCACACGAACGCAAGAGGAAACAGGCTGCCAAAACAAGCACAAACCGATAGATATGGCAGATTGACTCGTCAGCCGCTTGAGGCTCGGTCTGCAAGTTTGACTCATCTCTACATATACAATTATAAATATGAGACTGATCATAGAAAAAGTACGTATATGTATGTCCCGCAGCGCCTTATACAGTAAATCTTGCCTTTGAACAGCTGTAATGATAATGTATTAGATAAGTCTTAGTATACAGTAGTCGTTAAGTTTTTTTTATCATTTTATAGTTTTCAGCACTTTATAGGATTTCAAAACGCTGATACGTGAATACTTTTATTTTAAGCCCTTTCGACCGCTGCCTGTTGAAAAGCAAGATTGTCTCGTGCGACCTTTCTTTTTTGTCCATAATGGGACGGCAATCTAGAAACTAGAACAGGCTTTTTTGTATGTACCATATCTATCTACCTACCTAATGTCTAACTTAAATTACCAAGGTCTAATAATTTAAACTAAAGTCAACTAAAATACAGACGGCTCCTAAAGATTTGCCGTACTAAATCAGGTATACATGTATCGAAAATAAGAGAAGCAGCTTGTTCGGGGACAGCCTGGACTTAGTACGGATCAAAGTAATAACGGTGTAAGACATCATCCTGGGGCACGGAAGGGCATCATCCTGAGGGGTACGGACGCACAACAAAGACATCTACACTCTCGCAGAGACACGATAGCGTCGTTTCGTGACGAAACAGTGTTCTTAGCTTTGTCGACGTTGCGCAATACCGACTACAATGGTAGGAACAGCGATTTACTTTGTAAACGTTACCTGCGAGACGTAAGAGTGTGGCAGAGCAAACAGAAGATGCGTCAGAGATGCTTTCTCGACACTATATGTCACATCAGACCACGCCGTAGCATGGAGGACCAAGTGAGGCGAATAGAAATACACGAACTGCAATTGAGACTCGGCACTCAGAATTCATTTACTCGTTGCTCGGAAGGACAAACAAATTTTTACACAAATACGGCCTATGCCTTCGTCGATATTTTGCTTGCCCAAACAATCGTACCCACAGACAAACACACACATTCTCATTGAATATATATATGAATGTCCTGCCAACTAGATGACTGCAGTCCTGAAACGCCCTACTAAAAGTGAGGCCGTGGTCTTTTGCTTGGTTGGCCGTTTGGCCGACTGGCTTTACCTCATAGTCGCAATAGCGGCAGTGACGGTTCCTGGCAAATGGAAGTTAAACAAACGCTATTTAGTAAAAACGTAGGCGCAGGGCTCCCTCCGGACAGTGGTCCCGATTCGTTGGCGTCGCCGTCGCAGCTCTTCCGTTACTCTAAAATGCACGACGACGAAGAGTCTCCCAGTGAAAAAAAACGCAAAGTCGTAATTAGGGTTAGGTAAAGAGCGATGGATTCAAACGCAGGAAATGCGTTGGTAGTTAACGAACTATTCTACCAAGAAAATCACACTCGCACAGAAACTCACAAACACAAATGTACGCACACACTCATTCTAAACTCAGACAATGACTTTCACAGAAGTCTATGAATAACGCAATGCTTATCGGTATCTCGGGGTTCAATGTTCAATTGTGCGCGATATGTACACGTATGCATCTGAAAAGTTCACACATGCATACAAATTGGAGTAACACGAGGAAGGGAAAAGGTTGAAGTGAAATAATTACAACGATTGCTTGACTAGGACATCATTGGGTATGATATTAGATTTTTGAGCACCGATTTTGAATCGCTATGATATCCTTGCGCACTTTAATGATAACTCGCATACTCGTTGCAGATGAAAAAAGTTGCATAGGCAACTGGCCAATAGCGGGTCGTTGACTGTGAACACCGTTCGGTTTGTGGTGAGTAACATTGACGAGGATCGTTACAGGCGAGCGAGAAGCGATGTGCTGGGGTACCCAGTAAAGGCGCAAGAACCCACTGGAAGAGGACTGAAATCAATACGGATTTGCATTTAAAAACGCGTGCCTTCTTTGTATGCGCCTTCAGTAAAGACGACTGGTACTGTAGTTGGGGCTAAAAGTGCGAAAGTGGAAATGCAAGAGAGGTTGGTCAAGTGCCCTTTGCGCTATGAAACCAGTATTTGCGCTATCTCCGTCGGTTAGAGTTCTCTCTCTATCTTTCAACAGACGAATAACTAACTCGTACTCGATGCAAAAGATTGCCGGGTCTTCTCTCAGTGACAGAGCCGTGGAAGTAGCAGCGGGTGCAGCGGTATTTGGTGGTTCTCAATATATAATAGGATATGCGGCAAATGGTGGCCACAACGCCAGAAGGCGTATCTGCAGCACGAGAAGAAGATTTTTGCCAAACGATGCGCCGCCCTCAAGTGATCTGTCTATATGAGGTGACTGGTGCAAAGAGTCCTCGAAAAAGACGAGGACTTCGAAGGAATACGAAACCGCGCGCTAAGAAACTGAGAAGAGGAGTGAATTCACCAAAAGATGTGTACTATGACCGGGGCAACTCGCATAGTCTGTATCCGTGGGTTCAATGCCTTTGCAGACCCAAAAGATAGACGGAAAAGTCGAGTACAACTGCATTCCATTCGTGCAGTGCACGCACTTGAATGCAGTAGCAGCGGCCCCGCCCCTATGTAGCAAACAGGCTAAAGCACAAGAAAAAGAGCAGACGAAAAAGAAGGCGCGCCGACGTCTGTTCACTCGAGCAACGATGAGGCGTCTCTCGACTAGGCTGGGGGTTCAGGGAAGAAAACGGACATTGCTGCCAACTACAACTAAAAGAAAGAAGGAAACCCAGAAGGTATTCTGCGTAGAGCATAGTGCGAGTAGTATTGTCATTGGGTAATGCAGCAGTGACGGCCCGACAGTTCAGCAAGTCAATGTCTTCTTTTTCTACGACGATGCCATCCCGGTGTCGCTACTGGTGACGCCGGTCAGCAGCAGGGTTTGTCGTCCACGGGTCTCTCTTCGTCCTTTCTTCATGTGAGACACGGCATGCGTAAAGGAACGTTCGTCAGCATTGTACCGAGTCGAGCTGGTTCGTCCGCCCTTCCAGCAGCTGACTTTAGCCTCTGGCTAGCTGGCTGGTTCACTCAGATGCACCACAGTTGCTCCATACAGAAGCAACGGCGATGAGCGAGGCAAAGCAACTACTTAAAGCTGTCATGAATAGCGTTACGGCGCCAGCGGCGGCTTTCGGCTACCACATCAATAGAACCGTGTGGCGGCAGAAGCCGGGGTATGTAGCGGAATAGCCCAGCGTATACTCGAATGTTACCAAGGATCGGACCTGAAAACCGCAGGCTATTGGTGACCATGGAACAAGTGCGTGGCACTGTAGGAAGGCAACCTAGGTGGATACGATGGGTGTAAAGATCGTTTCTCGTTTTAAGGCTGCTTAAAGGGGGTACCGAGTGCTGACTGACCGCTCCTGATATTCCGCTTTGCCCAACCTTTGTATCACAGCCATTTTTCGCCACGTCTCCTCTGAGTCGTCTGGAACCACCCAGTAACTTCATAGTTAGAACATACATAGGCACACGCACGTGGTGAACACTTATTCTACAGCCGTCCACACAGCTATATAGGCACACGGTGGCCGGTCGCAGCACTCATCGATGACAGTACCACGAGCTACCAAACTAGGCCTACTGCCTAACGTTCCTAGCGGGAAACGGGATGGACACGGAGACTGCTGGCAAGCCATGCCTTGCACTTGTTTGCCTTCTCCTCTATGTGTCCCGGTGGCTCTGATCTATTTCTCACTTTTCTGCTTATCATACCTTGAGACTCAGCTGCTGCCTTCGAATGTGAATAGACAAGGCAATTGCCATGGAATAGGAATACGGGGGAATGTGGGGCATGCCTGCAATCCTTCTGGACAAGGCCTCAGCGACGCTGACACATACGATGAGAAGTATGGAAGAACTCTCAGCAAATGGGGGAAGGAAAAGGACAAGAAGAGAGACACAACGAAATGGCTAGTGAATGGAGACCGGTCAAAGCCATCGCCATCGCTAGAACTTCAGCTGCAGGAGCAGATTGAAGGATCGTTTAGGACACAACCACCACCACCACCGGCAGCAGCAGCAGGAACAAACCGCCAGTCACATGGCGAAAAGTTGCATAGTTGGCCATCTGACTAGCCGCTGCTCCTGTGGCCCTTTTGGTTTCATATCCAGGCAAAAAGAGAGGGAGGGCGATAGAGAATGCAGTACGAAGAGTACACTGAGCTATGCTACGGACTCTGAGGCTTGCGATTACTAGAGGGTAACGGGGAAAGGGGATTGTCGATGAACGAACCAAAAGGACAAATCAGCAAACGCAAAGGACTATGGATCCTCCATCTCCAGCAAGCGATGGTGGGGACGGCGGCCACGCAGGCCGTTTAGTCGGGCGGACGTCCATCTATCGAGCTCCGCATATCCCCTGCCACTTTTCGTCAGCTGCGGTCTCGGCCATCGCAGCCGAAGCTCAGCCTCTTCGAGCCTTGTCATTAGGGGGACGTCGGGTTCGTGTTCCTGCCCTTGAACACAACGAACGAGTTAGAAACGAGTTGGAAAAAAGAGAGCAACCGATGTGAGGTTGAGAAAGAAGACTCTTTAGTCAAGCGACCGAGACCGCCCGCCTGCCTGCCCGTTACTCGCGAAGAGAAGAGTAGAATCCTTTGCCATCAAAAGCATTCCTCCTTTTGTTGACGACATACGCACGCGGCAGGCGAAATATTTGACGAAGTTCGACATCGTCTCAGATCTAAGCAGCAACGGTGTCTTACGGTAGAGTGAAGCGACTTTCCTCTTTTCCGTTCGCAACTCGTTGACGCAAAGGCAACGCTGGAAGCGTTTACTCCAGGGATCCTGCATAATGATAAAGTTCCAAACGCCACTAATGATTTTGCGCCTGGTAGCACTGCTACGGTACAAGTACGGCTGCTGCAATAGATTAGTACGCGTCGAATCGATCTATGGTATAAACGACTTGTAGATAGAAGTAACTTTGTTGAGAAGATACAGCTTCTAAAGCGGCGCCAACTTTCAAACCGACGTGAGTTTCAAAAACGCTAACTGTTTGATAAAATTCAATATGAAAACCAATGCTCCGCTGGTATCAAAACAGAAGCTAATAACATATACCTTACAGCATCTTACCGCAGTGAAGTTTATAAATCTATGATATTCAGAACAAATGATTTTCAATTATGGATAGTAGGTTAATCATAATATCCTATAATTTTAAGCTTTTGCAAAAATCTAGTATTTCACTTTTGTTATAATTATTGCTAGATGTGTTTACGTCGAAATCGATTTTTACTGAGCCTGCTGAACCAACTAGTCAAAAAATACTACTAGTATCTATTAAAGATGCACTTATTTGAAACATATATGGAACTATTTGATACATTTTCTGAAAGTAATACCTTGAACGTTTATTTTGTAAAATGAGTTAAACTGAATCATAAATAATAGATCATAAATACGTGCACTTAGATACAGGTCTGAATAGATATGGCGCAGCTCCCCAATGAGCAACTGGCTTTAACTGAGCCTATCATATATATTCTATTTTTTGTTAATCAGAAAGCTTTCTTGTTCTTCTGCTGCTTTCTTAGGGAAAATATTGTACCTTCCCAGGCTCCAAAAAGGATTTACCTCAATATATATGCAGGTATATACCTTTTCTTCTTATTCGATACGCTTAGCACTTTGTCGAGTTGCACTATGTCCTCACAAGTATATGACGCGTTAGACGACTCTTGGAATACCGCGACGACAAGCTGCTGGTCTGGCCTGATCCACCCTGGTCCATAGAACGTCAGCTTGTCTTTTCCATCTTGGGCTGCAAACGTTAGTCATTCTCGTAAATATGTGCAGCGATTAGTGCTTTGTGTGCAGCCTATCATTCGTCGGTCCCCTAAAACAACTGTCGGTGGACTAGAACCGCCTCGTGTATGGTGTTGAGTACAGATTCGTGTACTTGACCACGCCTGTGGCACGCAGGTCTCTGGTCAGGTCGGCATTACCCGAGTTGTATCAACAACTGTTCCTTCTATTGGTTTGCCGGCGGAAAGCCAGTCATCATCGCTGTCTATAGGGAACAATGGGGACGGACGCACGCAATTTACGAGAAAGCAGCACCTTGGTACACTCTTGTCTTCTACTTGACCAACATACACTCGTGGGACCGTGAAAAGAATCAAGCTGTAAGCGGAAAGACTACAAGAAAAGCAGTCTACCTCAAGGTCCATGTGGATTTTACAACTAAAGTAAGCACTAACCATTTCGATATGGGCTTTCGGCGTATTCCGATACTGAAGGTCCTCCTCTTCAGTCTTACTGCCACACTGTGGTTCTTTCCTAACATGCAAACGCATTTCGGATCCTTACGCATACCGCTGTCATCAGCCACGAGCTCGTGGAACATTAGTTCGCCCAGAAACAGCAATCGGAAGAATAGGACGGTAAACAACACACACACACTGTGTCCTAGCAACTTCGGACCTTTCCTGTTCGTTTTTCTTTTTCTGCTGTTCTTTATGTTGTAAAACTGATTGCTGGTTATCTCTGGCTAATGTGCCACACTTCTCGAGTACATTTATATTCTCTTCACAAGACCCATTCCGACTAGACAAGTATCTTTTGCTTCGGAACCTTGGCCTTCGTGTGCCAGCTCTACTTGACGGCGTTTTTGGGTGAATGTTGTCGATTTGACTTGAAGACATATCATGGCGTCTAGTCGCCTACAGTCCTTAAACTTTCTATCCCTACGTACCACTGATTCACTTTTATGTGTCGTGTTTGGCGCAAACATGTTTGTGGTAAGTTGTGAATTACTTACCGCGACAAAATGGCGCTAAGTCTAGCCCCCGATGTCGACACAGTAAAAACACTAAGTCTCGAAACGACTTGATCTGCCTAGATAGAAGCAAACAGTGATCTGCAGTATGAGTTTGAGGGTTGTGGGCCTTTAGCGTTTCAATAAAAAACGATCTCTACTTCAAGTGTATCCTCGCAGCACCGCTTGGGCACCACCCCACCCAAAGGGCCCACCAGGCCAAGCCCATTTTTCTTTGTCCATGCATCGTCGATCCCATATGTAACTGCCTTCATTTCACCTATTTTATCCCTACTGTCTAACATGATTCATCTCAAGCTATTCTTTCTCTCTTGCTTTCTGCTTCCTTCTCTACTCTCGTCGTAAGTGGGTTATATGAGTCGTGTACCCAAGTTATTCCCAGACCTCATACAATTCGACGTTGTTCTACTGCTGTTTCTACTGGCTGGATGGCTCGTGTCCTTTTTTCAGTACGCCGCCTCGTTTACCGCGTTCGCTACTCTTGTGGCTGTACACTAATAACTCATCTCGGCTGCGCGCCCCCGCTTAACATCGTGCACTTGGCCGGTGTTACTGTGGGCTTTGTGCTACCGTTACACCGTTCGGGGTGACTAGTGCACATCAGGCAAAAAAAAAATCGTAATAGCAGCTTCATGACACTCCGCTCGCAGGCTGTTTCGCTTGTTTTTCCGCCACTCTCCTTTTTCTCAGTCCGTCTCTTGTTGTTGCCGCGAGAACCGCTCCTGAGACTCCTTACTTTCGTCTTTTGCAGTTCGCCCCACAGAAAGAGTCAGTTTGCTTTTACTTAAATGCGGTCGCCTAACTCAGGCTTGGTTGCTCAATCCGAGTTGCCTGCGCTGCCTTAGACTGAAACTTGCCGACCGTTGCCGGTCACTTGACGTGCTTCAATCGTTGAGGGCGAGGATGGAAAGAAGGCAAGAAACAGGGTTTGTTGGCATGAAGGACCGCCCCCCAGAAGGAACGCGTGAACGTTCGAAGCTATCTAGGCCCCGGGGTTATGGGAAGGGAAAAGATTGGCTGGGCTTCAAGCCTGGTGAGAGACATAGAAGCGGTTGGTCTTCGATACGGGGCATTTGCGAATCTCTACGCTTCTGTGATACATGAGAGTTCACTGCTGGGGGATCTTAGAGAGGAGGAAACTATGGAGACTAAGAAGAAGGGCATTTGAAACATTTCGTTTAAGGGGAACTGTCACATGCCAGTTGGCCATGTCAAAAGTTTGTGTTCGCTCACCATTAGTCGCTGCCACTTTGTCCAACAAACAGCCATTACAAGGGTGTGCCGCGCTGAGAACTAGCTAGCTTTGTCTCATTGTTACAAGCGCCATCGTTGTCGTCACTGATCAGCATAAAAACGATGCAAGAATAGAAAAAGACACAGAGAAAACCTGTTCAGATAAACTCGCCTTAAGATGAAGAGGAAAACGAAAGCCTGCAACGGGAAAATTTAAAACAATAACTGTTGTTGGTATTAATAGCGAACAAAAGCAATGGGGCAGTGTCGATTATGTTGGTGCAGGTTGCTTTTGTCGGATTGAATACGAGGTAGGATCAAAAGGGGCCCAAAGTTTAATGCCGTAATACATATTGCGGAAAATGGTATGAAATCTATTTGTTCATCACAAATACGTATATAGACCTATGGAATAGTTAGCGATTATGTATGGCTGCGTGTGCAACACATTAGAATATCTTCTTATGTATGTGCGTCTGCCTTTGACCAGCATGAAGGGTTGTTGCCAATAATGCGGTCCACATATATATAAGTCTCTTCAGATGAGAAAGCATGAAGTTTACGGAAACCTGTGGCATATTTATCGACTTGACCCTTTCGTCACAACGTCACAGCTGGGCCTGACGCCACCAGATGTTTCAGCTTACAAGATAGCATACTAAACTGATCTCTATGGTCGGACTAACGCTTGGAATAGGTTGCCGGACTCGTAGATCTATTCTGTCCAGATTTGATGCCCCTTGTCTGCGCAGCAGTCATCGTCACAGATGACACTTTGTGTTGCTGTCACCGGCCGAAAGTGCAAGACAGCGTTATGCGCAGCTGCGATGAAAACGACCCACTTTTAGCGAGCTAATGCTCTGCTGAGTTCGTGACGACCCAGGTCGAGATTTTTCGTAGAAAGTTTACATGGCGTACACATTTGGCAAAAGTGAATTACTCAAATAGGGTAGGGTTGTGTACAGTAATAAACACTTCAATAGCTAAGTCGACCCGGTGTACTTGCGTATAAGTATGCCTCCGTTAGAGTAGACTACATATTTAGAAATAAAGGATAAGGAAAGATAATCGATTCTATCTCACTTCTGAAGTTAGGTTGTTTTAACATATTTGTTGAACATAATTTGTTAGAGCTGCATTTGATGCAAGGTTAATAAGATATTTTCGGAAACAGCTAAAAAGTAAGATTATCAGAGATGCTCGTAAGGTGAAGACCTGGAGAATATCATATGTACGAATTTTCTCGGTGTAATTATCAAGAGATAGCTAAATTTCAAACTAACAGACAAGAAATCACACCATGCGGGCAAGGCTACGTCGGAATTCCCAAAAGCGTAGATATCTGCTATTTGTCTGTGACTGCATATCGATTTCTAACACTGAACGGAATGTGGAAACAAGAAAAGGCCCTGATGCGGACGCCATATCGTATGTTCTACAACAATGACAGAGCAGGCCAAGAAGCACAGGGTACATCCGGACCGGTAAGAAAACATTGGAAGATTGCAGCACCGCTTAGCGTCTCATTCCTCCCAGAAGAGTTTACATAAACAGCACCTTTACGAATATAGTACATAAAAGAGAAACAAGTAGCAGAACCTAGAAGGAAATCGATGGCAAGGCGATAGGCGACTACCTAAGCCATCCGTTGCAGCGATTTTGACCCCATTTGCTACTCCGGGCTGGCCCATTCTGTTAAAAGGCTAAGTCCATCACGCTTTACCGTATGAGACAGTGAGAATACCAAGTGTGCTTTTTTCAATGGACATAGACATAGGCCAGCGCATATTGTTAAGCCCTAATATGAATTGCGAATGACAAAAATATAGCAACAATGCTGGCTATTATACTCTTCGCACATAACCGCCAAAAAAAAAGTTCAGCTGCAGCAACGATTCCATTCAGTTTAAACTTGGCGGGTTTTATGATACATGCTGTCGTCACCACAAATGAGGCAACTCTACCCACAGAAATCGCAATATTAGGTTACATCTTTAATACTATTGCTACAATCGATAAAGGTCATTATTGTCGATTCCATCTGCCACCCAAATGGTAGCGTTGCCAGCGGCCGACATATCTAATATTCCTTCAACAAACACATACGGCTGAAACAGAGAGGGATATCAGAAAGGCGTGCGCATCAAAGCTTACTCAGTAGCCGCGGTCCGAGCTTCGATCCCTCGGTTCTCCATTGCCTTACTGCTAGAACTATATAGGTGGCGTTGGGTGTAAAGAGAAGAACTCTTCTGCCACGTTTCCGGGCCCCCGGCACCACCTGGTAGGGGGTCGGCTGCCAGTCGTTCACACTACCGCACGGTTCCCACAACCTTCCCGGCGTCCCTCTCAAAGGCTACTAGTTTGGCGTCCCACGAGGCCAACTGCCACTACGTTAAGTTCTCACAACCGACGTTCCCTCACTCACCGTAGCCACAGGTATGGCTGGCATTCCAAAAAAGAGAAAGATCTTATATGTTCTAGACTTGCGCCCGCCACCGCCATTGCCGCCACAAGCCACAGGCGCGCCGCTTCGCCCCTGGGGTTGCAACCGTAACGGTCCCGGTTCGGCCCGCGAAGCCAGAGGCGCGAGAGTCGTTACTCTAAATATCGAGTTCTCACTTGGCCATCGCGGCGGCAACTGTATCAATGCGCTACTCAGGGGGGCATAGCCGTCGCTCCCCCACGCTTTCCGTTGGCTTTGAAAGCTGCTGTGTCAACAGCAAAGGCGAATCGTGTATTGAAGGCGTGTCACCACCCTTAATTATTTTTGTATATGTGTGAGAATTGTATAATTGTAGGAACGGAATATATTGTATGACAGATGAGCTACAATATGAGCTTTTGGTAATTATGTAGTTAATGCTATTTCAATTTAGAAACAGGCTTGCCTAGAAATTCTTACACGGGAGTCTAGCTACCTAACTCTGGTTAAAACAAACTAGAACAAATAGTGGCATAGATGACTTTTTTAGGCTTCACTTACGTGATTGACTTCTAGCTATTTTTTGAATAAAAATAAACACATTTTAAAGTCAAGTAATTGTTTCGGGTATTACGTCTGAGCTGTCATTAAGTATTGGTTTAAGCTGTCGGTCACTTCCAGTATGAAACGGAGTGTATCTAGGCTTGACTTCGAAGCTAGACCATCCAACGAACTATTACGTTTAGCTACCATTTACATTGCCACGAAAACGAGTGCCCATGGTGGGAGGAGGCCACAAGAACCATTCCGCATCTCAAAGCAGTAAAAGTGAAGCCTAAACACTGGCGCGGACGACATGAAGGCTACAAGGCTAAAATGCATCGACATACTCTGAAAAAGTCACTGTTATAGTGCTGAGTTAAAAAAAACATCTACAGCACGGAGTCTTACGTAGCCACGTAAGTCAAGCTAGTCAAAAACAGAAAATGGTCGTTCAAACTTAATGGGAAACTTAACTGCTGGACATTTCGCTACTGAACTCACTATGGCAAAAAATGCTTACCGCCAGCGTGTTCTGCATTGTGAGAACTAGAGGCGCAGATTATAGACAAGTTCTCTCGAATGAAAAGTGCTTCATAAAGGGACGGTCCCGCCAAAATATCCTAAACGATAAGAGCACAATGTATGAACTTTTTTGTAAATTGAATTAAATCCTTTTTGGAGAGGCAAAATGCCAGTAGGTAAGTTCGCATATTTGTAATCTGTAAGAAAAATCGTACCATAACTTAGACATTACTGTCTGTTTATATAAGTGTTGAGTACGTATATGAAGCCTCTTACCGACCACTTCTCCTGAAGAGCCGACTTCTGGTGAACGGGCATAACCTAGAGATACATAGAAACTAGAAATTCTATACCATGCCAAAAAATGTATTCAATTCTCGTGAAACTTTTCAAGTAAACTCCGGCTCGTGCTAGTAGTATGGAACTAAAGGGGCATCTAACGAATATATCTTCCAACTAGGACCACAATGAGATGATCCTGATTTAAATTATGTACTTACATTTCTAGAGTATGAAAATTTAACGCGAGGCTCCGTGCCCGACCGGCCGACTGTCCTAAACCTTTCCAGGCCAAACTCTTCAGACGGAGAACCGCATTCTGATAATTTAAGGTGACTAAGTAAAGAATGGTATAACGGGTAGTTCAATCATCGAAGCCGTTATTAAGCCCGATATCAATCAGTTAAATTGTCTTATTTAGCTTCAATACAAATGAGACATAGCCCGAATCGATAAGAGAGGTGTAACAGCCAGGAACGGTCAGCAGAGCGTGGGCTTCCGTTGTGAGTGAGAGCCTTATATAAGTGTAAAGATATATACATAAAGGAATAAAGATTAAAACATTTGGTTGGTGTGGTCAAACATACGCTGTACGATATGCTTATCATTCTTTTCGGAACTCACGTTTTCTTATAGTAATAAAATTACAAACTGCTTGTAAAAATTGGCAGAGAAAATGGAGAAACAATTGGTCAAGGGTATCGAAAGGGTGTCCACAAAAATTGTTTGTAAAGCAAAATTGTAAAGCACTTGTGGTTAATTTCTTTCAGATCACCTTTCGATTTGATACCGACACTTAGATTCGATGTAAGTTAAAAGCGGGCAGGATTTTATGAGAGAGAAAAATTCTACCAGCCTAACATAAAAAGCATTACGAAAGGGTCTGAAACCTAAAAATTCTTGAAGCTCTGCATAGGCCACCCTCCATTAACGATAGCTTCAGGCCTTTAAATTTTGCCTTTACCAAACATAGGTAAAATCGTTATAGAAACAAAAGGCTACGAAGTGTTCTTTATATTCGATACTTTTGGTCGACTAAACCTCTGGCTAGAGCAGCCAAAAGTCGCAGATTTAAGTCATACTAACGAGATAGACTCTAGCACAAGTGTTACCAAATATGAAAAAAATTGAATATTTAAGCTATTCCATTAGCAAAACGCCAACTATTAACAAAAAAAAAAAAACATATAGATATACTGCCTTTGTCACATTGTTTGAGTACCAGCAAATTTTTTTTGGGGTGAAAAAAACAATCCACAAATGTTCGAAGAAGA